TGTAGAAAAATAAGCTAGTAAATAGAATTTTATATGTTATTTGAAAATTATGGAAAAAGTAAGCCAGCGAGTAGAAATTGTTACATGAACAGAAATTGGGACAATTACCTTGTGCGTGCTATTAGAATAATAAAGTAAGTGCTCGTTTTTGATTCTCACTGGAAATAGAAGACAATCGTCTTTACCACGAAAGACTTTACGTTTTGAAATTGATTTAAACTGGCCCGAACTGCCATAATTAATTTAATATTTACTTATATCTCATATACAAACCGTAGGCTGGTTCCTATTTATTTTTTTCTTTCATTCTCAATGTGTGCTCCTAAGTAAGATGAAGAACATGTATGGACACTGTCGCTGAACGTAAGATGTGAATGAGTTAACTTTAAGAATTTGAGAAGCGTCAAAGAAATATTGCACATAGTTAATGTGTAGGATTCGATAATCAAACACTGTAAAATCGTTTTTTGTTAAGAATTATTACTTATAATAGAACGTGTAGTATGTTAGCTGTATTTATGTTCGCATATATCGGAATACCATAACGTATTTAAAATAAGAATTCCGTTAATATTTACGTACTAAGGAGAGCACATTCAGGATGTTCGGCTACTGCGAAAAATTTTAAGGGGTGATTCTAGAAGCCGAGATGAGGCAAAAGTCAAGAATAAATAAATTGCGTCCGAGGCTCCATAAGCTTATAACTAAAAAATGGAGCCTCGTTATTTGTTTATTCTTCATTTTTGTATTACTTTGGCTTTTAGGTTCATTCTTTAAAATGTTTCCCATTAGTTAAAATCCTGTACATGTATACATGGTGTACTATTATCGGCGTCACGAGAGAGCATACTCGTTTCACGCAGCTTGGAAGTAGTGGGATAACCGAATACGTAGACCCGAGTAGTGGCGATGATATAGACATCTAATACTGAAAATCACCATCGCTCTCTCGGGACGGTGATAATAGTACTGATGGTACAACCGTGAGAGGAAGTGATCCCATGCTTGTACCATTAACACTCCAGCAGCCTGTATATTAATTAATAATTCCGACCGCGCATTTTGTTCGAGTAAAATTAATATTATTTAATATATAGTTTATAATAACATTGTTCCTCGCCTGAATCTTTCTTAATTCATTTTATTACGAGCCTACAGACTTTCAATTTATTTTTATATCAATTTTTAGGTAACTAGTTTCAATAACTGTTTGCCGTTTAATGGTTTAAGTAGCCGAGATAGATATTCGAACAAAATGCCCGACCGGTTATTTGCGTACGTAAATATATATATATATATGATATATACCACCCATAATAGTTGCATTTATTGAAGTCGGCTGTGGAACGTATTATTTAGATAGTATGTTCACCTTTAGGCCATGTGAGAGACTTCGTTAGAACTATGCTCAACTACCTATATGATAAGACGAACAAAATTTGAAACGAAAGACTGACACTTTGGGGCCATTTCGATCGAAATTGAGAAAAGTTTTTAAAAATAATAAATAACGCTAAAATCACGCGTAGCTGATTATTGAATCGTTACTTATATTATTAATTGGTATTTAAGAATTATTTAGAACGATCGAAGGAATTAAGATAGTATTGCGTTTCCTGTTTAGGCCCTTTTATCATATAAAAATATACACTTGACTCTCCTTTCATGCAGCGAAAGCGTATAAAAATTTCATGCAAATATCATTACCAGGACTCTCCATAAATGTTAATGGATGGACTGCAGATTTTGTGCGTTTGTAGCAAAATCGAGTAAGAAAGCAAAATCGATCATCAGCATAATGTTTAAAAAATTAAAGGACACTTACAAAATCTCATTTCTTAAACTTATATTTTGACAATTTTGTTTTGCATAAAGACCTGCGGTCTTTTAATGCAAACCGCGTGACGTTAGAAATGTGTTAAAAAAATGCCTTATAAATACTGATTGGCTCTGAATAAATATTAACGGAACTTTAAAAACTTATAATAGAAATATTGTGTAAAAGGAGGGTCAGGTGTAGATGCTCGCACGGAGGTAAAGAACAAGAATGTTACCTTTGCATCATAGACTTATATAAGGTGTGGCTAGATGATTGGTGCAACCGAACAAGGGATGATGATGCTACAGTCTGTAAGTAAATAAATATAAGTCTATGCTTTGCATTAACGAGTGCAACGTGTTGGAGAAAATTGTTGAACGAATTACTTGGCGGCGTGAAGGCCAGCTCAAAGGTCCTGTCGCGCTCATATTTTACGTTTGTGGTTGTGACTTCGAACTAATTACCCACGGAGCCGTAAATGTTAATTGTATAAAAGTGCAGAAGCGGATAAGTTGAGTGAAATGCGAGCGTTAATTGCCGTACATTTGCCGCTCGCCGATGCCACAGGCAGAACATAATAAATGTCCCAATTTCTGTTCACGTTACAATTTCTAGTACCTTGAGATTATACATGAAGTTAGAGAAAATCAAGGCAGTGAGTAGAGAATACGTGATTTGAACAGAAATTAGAACATTTATTATAGTTGTTTTGAAAAATTACTCGAGTCCTTCATCTGTAAAACAACACGGCTTTCCATTCGTTTTTTTTCTTTTTGTTTTAACTTCCGTGTTGTTCAGAGGGTGTCTTCTTTTTCGTTCGCAGTCGGCTCGGAAAACTGAGACTGATTGCAACCGTAGTTGTTATATATATATATAGATATCGTTCACGTATGTAGTGTTGAATATGTACTTAACTAAGGTATGATATATTTTATAATAAATTTTTTGAAAAAATCTGTGTATTTTTTATATATGACCCAATTTCTGTTTACGTTATAGTTTCTATTCACTGGCTTAAAATTCTTGGGTGGGTATCGCAATATTTATATCGTTTTTCAATAATGAACATAAGTTCATTTGCTGTTGGATAAATTTCTAATGTTTGTCTAGATGAAAATTAGGGATAGAATTGTTGGCAATTATTGAGTTGAAAAGTAAGTTCAATCGATTTAAATGGATTGATTCGTGCGAGGTCAAGAGCATTATGGATAGAAATCCATCCCCAAGGGAGTGTCAATGCCGTTTCAAATTTTATTTTATACTTTGCTTGTATACCTTTGGTTTGGGTGTCCTCGTCATTTGAAGCAGAGAGAATAAATGGCATGCGCTAATTCTAACCTAATGTAATATGAAAATGACAAGTATTTATCTAACAATACTGAATTAATATCAATCCCTAACCATAATTTCTAACTGATTTCCGTTGCCGTCTAACTAATTATATTATAAAAGTCCTAACTCGATATGTATTTCTCTGTCCAAGAAATGTTTAAACAATTAATAACAATTGCTGACAGTTGATCAATTTGAGCGAATTACCTCCTATCTCCTATCCGTAACAGCGTTACATATAGCCGAGGGTAATCGTGATCGCAATTATATTTATTGGCGGTCGTGAATGAGATAAGAACAATTTATATATCCCCGTATTACGCAACAAGCTGGGAAGGTCACGTTGCGAATGCGTGCGTGCTTCCTCGGTCAGAGGCTCGTGGCTGTTGTAGCTGTAGCTTGTTTGATTATTCCACTCCTTTCTCAGTTGTTACAAACGGTTAATTAAGATAAGGTGCAGGTACAAGTACGGTCGGCACGCAGCGGTAACTGGAAGTCCGGCTTCACTCTAATTCGAAAACTCTTGTGACAGACAGCCGCAAAATGATAACAAAACATGTGTCGACCTTATCCAAGGTGGAGTTTCAAACATTCATTGATTCCATTGACGTCGTTTTATCTGATTGCGATGGTGAGTAATCTGGTTCAATTAAGTCGGATTTCTTAGACTCATTGATAGACTGCAGATTTTTATGCAAAAGCATTTGTGATGCCAATTTAGGAAATGAAAGAAAGATATATGAGGCTTTGTTAAATTACTATTGGCAAAAATTATTCTTTAGTATTACACAATGAAACACAAAATCATATATAATCTTCCCCTCTAATTTCATAACAAAAATTCAGATCTTCCTCTCTAATCTTATAACAAAATTTAAAATCATGATATGAGCCTTTATAGCATTTCCTGTCAGCTTATATCGGAAACTTCCTTATTATCAAACATTGAGATAAATCATATATAATTTTCTTCTTTGATTTCATACGATAAACTATTATTGCTTCTTCTACTAGCATTACATCAGCAAAAATTATTCCTCATATCTACACAAGGAAATGAGAAGCATGTGTAATCTTCTCTAATCTTATACTAAAAACAAAATCACACATAAAGGAAATTAAAGTAGCCACTATATGCCTTCGTGCTTTTAATTAAAGTAAACTAAATCCTTACCCTAACATAAATAATATAGGAATGTAATCTGGATTGTTTCATTTTTTGTTAAAAAATAATGATGTATTGTGTTGGCAAGAAAATAATTTCGATTCTTGTAAATATATAGCATTGTAAAAACTGAAATTACTTTCATGTCACTACAACATAATTACATTTCTATTATTTTTTTCAATTTTACATATTACGTCCAGTCTTTATGTTTCCTTCACATTTAATTTCGCTACAAATACGTAAAATCTGCAGTCTACTCATTAAACTCAGAAAACTACATAATTTTTATTGCTGGACTTGTCGCATAGTTTCTTTCGATCAATCTTATCATTGTTCTTTTGGCTATTGTCACAAATGGTGTTGTAATCTTAGTAAACCTTAGGCGTGCTCTGGAAAGAAACCGAGGTAATAGAGAACTCACCTGAGACAGTTAACAAACTCAAACAGTTGGGTAAAAAATTTTTTTACATAACGAATAACAATACCAAAACGAGGTCAGAGTTCATAAAGAAATGTAAGGACCTCAAGTACGATGCAACGATAGTAAGTAAGGCTTCTGGTGTCTAGACTGCAGAATAAAACATTTATAAATTTTTCGTTATTTTAAAATTATTGGAAAATAAGCCAGTAACATGTAATTCATGAATTTTACTTTTGATCCTGTCTCGAATTTTATTATTGATACATTTTCAATATTTTCTACCGACACAATTTGTCTATAAATGCATAAAATTCGCAGTCTACTAATATCTCAACGTTCTCAGTTTCAATGAAATATTTATTCTACTTGCTATTATTTGCAGGACGAAATAGTTTGTACTTCCTTTCTGGCTGCCATGTACCTCAAAGAGAAGAAATTTGATAAAAAAGCGTACATAGTTGGCACTGCTGGCATTGCCAATGAGTTGAACGACGAAGGTATCAAACACTGTGGAGTTGGGGTGAGTCCAAATATAAATATTATTCGTTTTTGTACCCCGCAAGGGGCAATAAACAGTATACAATGAGTTATCCTTTTCTAAATTCCATTTATTCCAGCCTGACCCAATGGAAGGCGACGAAGTAGATTTAGTGACGAACTTCAAGCCAGATCCAGAGGTCGGAGCGGTTATCGTGGGCTTTGATAAGTTCTTCAGCTTTCCCAAACTTGTGAAGGCTGCCACTTATTTGCAAGATCCAACTGTTCACTTCTTAGGAACGAATTGCGATACAGAGAGGCCTTCACCGAATACTAACGCGTTTCCAGGTTGGGAGAACGTCTTTCTCCTTACTTATTAGTAGACTGCGGATTTTTATGCAAAATAAATGTTAGTAATAATATTCTTTAACTCATAAATGAAAGGCGAATCTAAATTTTATTCCTTAACTCTGTGTTCAAAATATTTCATTTTGCATAAAACTCCGTAGTCTATTTATTACTTGAACTGTGTACGAATATTTACGAACTTTATTGTGACTTCATGTTAAATACTTCAGGTACTGGTTGCTTCATAACGACGATAGAATCAGCATCTAACAGGAAGGCAGTGATGCTCGGGAAACCAGAACCGTTTCTGAGTGAATATATCACGAAGAAGTATGGTTTAATCCCTGAGCGGACGCTGATGATTGGTGACAAGTAAATATATATATTATTACATCTACTTATAATGCTAAAAATGACGAACAGTTTGTCATAATCATTGTGTTTCAGTTGTAAAACCGATATTCTTCTCGGGAAGCGATGCGGGTTCAAAACTCTGCTCGTGTTGACGGGCATAACAACGCAAGGGGACGTAGATGCGATGAACGCGTCTAATGGTGGTTCCAAGGATGTTACAATTCCAGATTACTATGCCAATGAATTGGGTGACGTATTAAAGATGATCACTTCGTCTTGATGATTCGGATCGACTCAACAGTCTTAGCACTAATTTACTTCCGTTCATATTTTTCTAATCATAATGCATGCCCCAAATTCTGTTCACGTCACAGTTTTTACTCGCTGATTTAAGATTACATATAAAATTACAGAAAAAATACCTAATGAAAAGAAATTGGGATTTTAATTCAATATATACTCGCCCTTATTTAGTCAGTTAACATCTGAAAACAATTTTCAAAAGCTTTTTTCCTTAACGACGGAACAGCGTTTTATGTAAGAATTATTTATCTTCATTTGAAAGCACTAGTATTATCACACGTCGCAGTATCAGGTGTGCATAAACGTTCGATGTAAAGTAGAGCTTTAATGGTAATCTAGGTGTGAGAAAACAAGTACAAACTATCTAGAAATTCAACATAGTACAAACTATTTAGAAATTCTTCCATGCTATTTTTTGACTTGTTTACTACGTATTTTTATAAATGTGAGATTTACGTACAATGATTATATGGAAGCAGGTACACTCAGCAACGGGATTGCCTGAGTATGTTTCGAGCGCTGCGTGCCGGGCGCATGCAGGCTGATTAATTATTACGCAAGTGTTTATTTAATTTACTGATGAGGGTTGACAGTTTATGTAATTACACGTCGTTGTATGTATCTATATAGTGCGAGTAATAAACGTTCAATTCAAAAGTGATGACTTCACTTCGTATCATATGGTTTCCTTATTTTCCTATTTCTAATCACAAGCGCACATATCTGGTAAGGACAATAAACTTTTAAGCTACTTAAACGTTTGCATATTCTTTGTATTCTCGTTTACGTATTTCCACGAACGAAATAACGTTTGCTTAATATTTTGATCACTTGAAATACGATTATGTCAGAGATAGGCTCGAGTCTGGGTAAAGTCTGCGATTTAATCAAGCGCAATGGCCTTGGAAGTATTTGCCTACTTTGAACCATATCAATGTGCATTTTAATACCACTAAATAAGTGTTCGAGATTTATTACTTTAATATTTTCTTGTTCTTTAAATTAAATATTAATCAAAGGATAAAAGATGTAAAATAATTGTTTCAAACTGTTATACATATGTATAAGTGTGTATGTATATGTTATATGAATAATAATTAAGACATTGTTTTTTAAATAGATTTTTATTGTCGCATCTAATACGAATTTATTCGATTTTCCTATCGTTTCATTTCACTCTACGTTCCACTAATAATTGAAACATATTCCGCACGTTTCACCTGACAATAATTTATTCGAGCTGGCACATTCTTCCCTTATTCGTGATCAACACAACTTACAGCTTGGGACAATGTTTCATGGTGGATGTGCATAAGACGTGTTTCCTCCGTAAGTTCACTTCATACACCATTTTTCAGGTCCATGATGGAATGCGCAGCAGGTGACGAAAATGATACCACCGGAAGAACACCCCTTATGTATTCCCACCATGGTTTCTTTAAAATCTGCGCTCAGTATTTTATATTTTATGTCGTTTACCAACGATATAAACAAAAGAGTAACAGGCAATGTCTCGAAGGTGCTATACATATTACAGATATCTTCACGTACATACATTACATACATACATATATCACCGGCAGATTGTAAAATACAGCCATAGTATAAGAAAGAGCAGTAAGCTCGCTCTGTCAAAAAATGTATTAATAATTGACTCTTGCGCGTAACAAAAAAATCGCACAACCAATAACGCGGAGACTTAATTGAGTGTGATTTGGTTTATATTTAATAACATTTACAATTAAAGAAAGTCACTGTGAATGAAAGAAGTGGTCAGGCAGCTGTCTGATTTAAGGATCTCTAAAGCTGACTTCGAGAGTGAGCTTACTTCTTTTTTTTTATACTGTGGCTTTATCTTTCAAATCAGAGCCCACGCATAATTAACAACACGGCGAATCTGTTGGTCATGAGATCATAGGAGCCGACACTGAGATTAAGTCTACCGTCACCTATTGTTCTCTCTTATACTGTGACACAGCAGTGTACAATTGCCTAGTTGTCGTAAGGGACTTGACTGTTTAACGAGACTTCGCACATAGCCGGTAGTTCAAAATTCTCGTGGATAAAACATGACCCAGTAGATATGACACATTCATTAGAACGAGCTGGAATTTTGTGAAGACGATGGTCGACGGGAGAATCCCTGGAATACATTAGCTTCGGATATCTATTAGTTTCTAAGGTATTAATAAGAAACTTTCATAAGAACTGAAGAATCTGCGGTTGCATGCCAGCATTCTCCACGCTGTGTACGTGAAGTATAGCGAAGATATTGTTAATGAGGATAGGCAGCATTAAATACATGAGTCTCGTCTGTATTAATTTGTCTCAGAAACTAAAAAATAACCGCAGTTGAAACGTTATACATGTTTGAGCATTGTCCCCACCCCCTTCAATTCTTCAAAATGTCAACTGATTCCCTTGAGTGAGTCACACCGTACTAAAAAATCGTTTCCATAACTTTCTAAGATTCTTTCTTCATCGCATAAACGATATTATGGTCCACCGGGGACAATTTTCGGCTCCAAGTTAAGAACTCATTTCATTTATCATTTTATTCGGCTAATAACTGTGGCTAAGAACGTTCTGCGGCCTCTAATTTCCGAGACCGATCTCACGTGCCGTTCGCGTTATATACGATACGCTCGCTCCTCGAAAGGTAAGCGTACCAGTAGAACACGTTGATCGCGAGAAAGAACACAGGGAATACAACGCGACTAGCGCGGTCGATTTTTGATACGGAATTGTACCTAGGCGTCCGTCTGCGACGTCTTCTGCCGGACTCTCTTCTGTTCACCTGCGCTGGCCGTGGCGGCGGAGGGCTGCAGGCCACGCAAGACATTTGCCAATGACCCACTGTGGGGTCCCTGACTGGCTCTGGGATCGCGGATAATGGAATCACTTCTATCATCCCGTCTTCGTTCATTGTGAAATTTCGACTAGGATGACCGCGGGCTGTTGGGTTTCCAGGCGTTCTCTTCCGGGACTGGGGCGTCTGAAATTGAACTTTAGACTGTAAAATATTATAATAGTGAAGATATTCTATCGCAGTACTTGAGTTCTAAATAAAGATGAGAAAGAAAGAATTTTTTTCACCACTTCTTTTTTTATATAGAATTATATGTAAACTAAATATGTTGAATATTTCATATGCACGGCGGCGTGGCGAAGATACGAAGTACGTGCGTGTGTGGGAAATGATAGATTATAGAGTTTCACAGAATGTAATTTCTGGGTCATCCTTCGGGTGATAGTTCGCTGCAAATACGTAGCGCAATATCCGAGGAGAATATAAAGAAGGTGAGCCAGTCGTTCATTCATATGACAGATTATTACGCTGACAGAGCAACGACTTCAATTTTTACCTGGCACAGAAATCGGCTTTGTCAATATCACCGAAGGAACGTTGCCAAGATTACACGGTGCTTCGCATCATTCCTTACGAGACACAAGCGTGTCGAACGATTCTCCGCAAGGTCGAACGTCTGTTTTATACAATAAGAAAAATCGTGTCTCCTACGTTAATGGGGGAACATGCCATCGTGATAAGAATAAGTTGTAATTGTTAAAAGCAGTTGGAGTTTTACTCACGTATTGAAAGAACTGTTCCATTATGTTTGGGAATAGATATTAAAATTACCTGGTCTCTTTTCAACGTAACAGTTTTATCTTCATCGCTGGAACTCTCGCTTTCGCTGAAATCGGAGCTGAAGTAACATTCGCCGGAGCCGTACTTCGTGAAATAATGGACCACTGCAAACTGTATGATGGTGGCGAAGATGAACGCGAACGAGAGGAAAACGAAAGAGTCGAGGGCAGTGGGGTAAGGAACTTTCGGCAGGTCGGTACGCGCCTCTAATCCTAGAAACGTCATAGTTAGTACCGTTGTTATCCCTTAAACAGAAAATAAGAATTTTGGAATAGACTATCGAGTTTATAACTCATTGAAGATCATATGAAGGGGTAAAAGTGTCAGCGATGTATAGATTGGCTGTTCTAATTAGCTGCATAATAGCACACGTTATGTATTTTCCGTATTTATCTATCGCATTATCATAATACAGGGTGGGCCGGAAATCGTAGTACAAACGGGCAGGGGAGGCTTCTACGTTGAAAAAGAAGAAAATATTTTGGTATAACATTTTTTCATCCGGAGCTCCGTTTTCGTAAAAATCGGCTCCAAAATTTGTTCAACTTGTAAACGATTTAGTACAATTTAATTGTCGTGTATTCCACTGCTCTTTGTTCTTTTGTTTTTTGTTTTCTTCTTTTTGTACTATTATCAAATTGTACTAAATCGTTTACAAGTTAAACAAATTGTGAAGCCGATTTTCATGAAAACGGAGAAAACTCCGGATGAAAAAATATACCAAAATATTTTCTTCTTTTTTAACGTAGAAGCCTCCTCTGCCCGGTTGTACTACGATTCCGGCCCACCCTGTATATTAACCGTATCGTTTTTTTCTTTAAACTATTACGTGGAACTTCTATATACTCGTTTTCGCATATTTCATATATTTTTCATATTTTATTAACTTAATATTTATTATTATTATTATTTTAGTATAAATAAAATGTAAATAATTTATTATTTTATTTTTTTCTAAATGAATTAAATTTGCAGTGCATGTGTATTCATAGACTTACCAAGCGATACGCGATCTGCGGTGGCTTCACGATTTAACCAAAAGGACACCCAGGATAGGACGACGAGCAACACGCAGGGACCGTATACTTGTATCAGAAAATTACCCATATGCCTCTGGAGATGAAAATATACCAGCAGCATCGAGTAATCCGCTAGGAACAGAAAATGTTTTCATAGCAATTAGTAACTTCGTCTGCTTTACTTTCCTTGAGGGTTTAAAAACTTTAAACTTGAACACGGATAGAAGCATTGAGGTGTACAAAAGACAGTGACCTGCAAATGCCTTATAAGAAAGTTATAATAAAAAAAGAATAATAGAAATTGTAAGTTTATTATAGTATTATTAATTAGTAGAATTTTTAAGAAGAAAGCAGAAACGTGGAGAGAGGCGAATCATGTCTTTGGCTAAGAGTCGTTGAGGACTGTCGGTGTCGAAGGCTTGTTCGAGTACGAAGAAGGGGGGGAGGGAACAGTCTCTTAACGATCGCGAAGAAACTCGATTGGAAACTTTTTATCGGGTCACGTTTACGGATTCTCCGCGGGAATCTTGGAATCAAGCAACCTGAGAAAAGCAGAGGGGGGATTCGTACGAATCCAGGAAGTGTATGCGAGGAAACGACGATTTGGAGAAGGAAATGGTAAACGAGGGAGGCTGAGGTTTCCACTGGACGCTTCCTGGTGAGAGGGACGACGACTAATTGTTCCTTTGCGAAAAGCTCCGTCCCCCTTCTTTTGCATTGCCGTCGACTGACGGGACTGAAGGAGGAGGAGGCGCCGGAGTCCGGAGGACTTCGCCTTTTAATTGGATTAGCATCGATTAAAACACCGCAAACGAGTTGACGTACTCCGTGATCGCGACTTCTGGCGACAGGATCATTTCGTACTTCTTTTCCACTTACTAATGTCATTGTTTTGACAGCCGCATTTCTCAATGTAATCCCGTCGTCGAATTCGACAATAAATTCGAATAATTCATTCAGCAACTGAATATTTATGTTTCTCATTAATTTCTATCTGCTAGAATCGGAGAAGAAAAATGGCAAAACTGTCGAAAATTTGTCTTCGACGGTACTTGAAATTCGGCAAAATCTGAAAACTTTTAAAATGCATTGAATAAATTTTCACATGTCCTACTTGCATTGTAGCACACTTCTCATGATTCTTAGAATATTTTGCACGTAATTTTGCGATAATTTTTATACACCCTGTATATGGCATGCGTATCGTCTTCGCTATTTGCATTCGGTAAATCGAAACGGCGGATTGTGTACTCGAAATAATATGTACGCAGAAAATAACGGGGTGAGGTCAGATGAAGTTTGATAACGTCGTCCTGCCTTGCAAACGGTACGGGCGATGCGAAAAACGCGTGCAAACAAAACGACGCGATGGAGAGCAGCTTTGCAATTGCACAATTGGAGGAGTTGATGATTAATGTGTATGTTTGATTTCGATTCCGGTTGCCATTCCAGGTTCAAACACAGACAGGAATTAAAATGAGTGCGCAGCAAAAATTCAGTAAAAAGTCAGTTTGCAAGTACCCCTTGGAAAAATCTCGGAAAAATCGAACATTTTTTTTTGTTGTTTATTATTAGCAATGTTCTTCCGATGTCTGATTTCTTTTTAAAAAATGCGTTTCTAAAGTGCAGAAACTTTTGGGATTTAATGTATAGCGAATACATTCTTAAATAGCATTCAAATTAGTTATGCAACGTGCTGTTGCTATGTGTGTATAAAAATCAAATCCCAATATATGTATATATGAATAAAAATAAGACTAATTGATAACATCGGATTTTATAAAGAGAAATCTATTTTTAAAAAATTATAGACTAGCAAGTACTTCGTTTTTAAATTATTATTAACAAACCGGTAAAGATATCTTAATGAAACTTTAGAGATACTTATACAGGGCCATTTTGAAGGTATCTTGTAAATTTTATACGATTGCCTGCATTAGAACCAAAGTTATGACAATTTGAATAATGAAATAAGTAGTACAAGTCAATGATTAAGGCGACGTACGACTTATACAATTATTGTAATGTTTGCAATGTATTCATACAATTTTTATCGACAGAAGGAGTATAAAATCCAGTTGTTCGAATACTCTCCTAAAGCTTCCTAGTAAATTTTATTCGATTTCCTCCACTAAAAACAAAGTTACAGCAANTATAAAGAGAAATCTATTTTTAAAAAATTATAGCCTAGCAAGTACTTCGTTTTTAAATTATTATTAACGAACCGGTAAAGATATCTTAATGAAACTTTAGAGATACTTATACAGGGCCATTTTGAAGGTATCTTGTAAATTTTATACGATTGCCTGCATTAGAACCAAAGTTATGACAATTTGAATAATGAAATAAGTAGTACAAGTCAATGATTAAGGCGACGTACGACTTATACAATTATTGTAATGTTTGCAATGTATTCATACAATTTTTATCGACAGAAGGAGTATAAAATCCAGTTGTTCGAATACTCTCCTAAAGCTTCCTAGTAAATTTTATTCGATTTCCTCCACTAAAAGCAAAGTTACAGCAATTTGAAGTAACAAACTCGAATTAGAGTAGAAATTTTAGATAGAATTTGTTTAATATTATGTATGTACGAAAATAAATTATGTACTACAGTAAATATGTATTTATTAGATGTTGTATTCAATATTTTGAAAAATAAAATAATATTAAGTAGAAATTGTGTACAAAATGAGGACATTTACTATCCTTCCTTTGAATAAATTCTTAAATATGATATAAAATAAGGCGCGTATAGAACTCACCATGCGCAACAGTCGGGGGTGCGGAATAATTCGCAGTCGGGTTGGCGACCAAATCGAATTGGGATAATTTCATGTCCTCGGCGATTGCTACTTGTCGCGCGCTGTTCCACTTGTAGATCACGTCCCGCTTCGTATAACCGACTGCAATCAAGAAAATATCTTTCGCTGAGATGCCGTAAAAAAGTGTCGCCTCTCTGATTCGAAGAAAAGTCACCCCCTGGGGGATCGGTAGGGGAAACTTCGTCACGGGTCACAAATCCTTCCCGTTACATCCTCCGTTCTCGAAAAAAGATACAATTACCCGGAATAAAATTCGCTACTCAAGATTATTAAGGTTTCTTCTTTGCTG